ACAGGAGGGTCACTATGAGTCCAATCTGTGTAGTGAGATCCTGTAGACCCTGTACCAAATACATAATAAATAAATAAACAAATAAATAACTTGAACTATGTAAAAATTGGCGTTGCTTTAAAGATTTCTAATTTTTCCAAGCTCTCACATAAATTTCAAGATACACAAATCCTAGTGAACATAAACAAGCACCTTAACTATCCCCTAATCGCCAACCAGGTAAGCAAATAGAATTTTCTCAAAAGCAGGCTGGTGAGCCTCTAAAACAGCTAGTATTATACGCCGGTTCCCAATTTCTGAAATTGCCTGGAACTGAGCACATATTCACGGGCACTTTTAACTGCATCAACACAAACAGGAAGAGGAGGCTGGGGTTTCACTGCTGAGAGACTTGACCTCTCCCAGGGAGAGTTGTACAGATAGGGAAGAAATTCAGTGTTGTCTTGGGTCACAGCGAGTTGGGTAGATTCACTGTGTGTCTCCTCATGAAGAAAGTTAAAGGTGACAAAAAATAAAACAAAGTTGAAGGTGAAGAGTTCTCAAAAGGGAATGTTCCTGCTTTGGTGACAAAGTCCAGCACCTCTGAGGGACTGGCAAGACTGCAAATAAACACTAACAATGCCAAGAAACCATCATAGAACAAAACAAAACTTCACGCCAATTTCCTCAGAGAAAAAAGTAATAGATCTCTTTGGTGTAGCAGCATGTAAACATGTTAAATAAAGAAGAAATTCTGGACTTAAAGAAGTTATTCTTAAAATATATGTGGAGAGGCCTAGGAATAGTTAAAACACGGACTGTAGGGTCTTCAGCCCAGGCATCTGAGGTGCTGTCTCAGGGGGAGGGCCTAGGCAGGTGTTCAAGGAGGCGTCCTTGGGGAAACCAGCAAGGGAGAAGGAGATATCACAGTTGCACGAATGCCACAGTTCTCTCTAAGGAAGGCCTGTCTTGCTCTGTCTTTTCCAAACCTCTTCTTCTGATTCATGACCCTCCCTCATGTCTGCAAGCCTTGCAACTGTGGCCTTGGACACCTCACTCTTCCAATCCTTTGCTTCTTCCTAGCCACCCTGTCATTCCTCTACTACATGAATTCTGGAGTAAATCTTCCAGCATCTCACTGCTCATGCCTTTCTCCTCCTCCAGGATGAGAAGCCAGACTGCACAGAACGCCTGCAGCTACAAAGGAGACTGGGTTGTCGCACCTTCCACTGGTTTCTGGCCAATGTTTATCCCAAGCTGTACCCATCTGAGCACAGACCTAGGTTCTCTGGAAAGGCAAGGCATGACTCAGGGATGACTGGGAGGAAGGGTGGGAGAGGGAAGCCTCCCAAGACAAGAACTGAATGTTCAAATGTTCTTCCATCACCCTGGCCAACCAATCATGAGTTCAGAAGGGCCTCTGTGGACTGCAGCCCGTGACCTAACTCCTTGCTGGCCTAAAGAAGGTAGCTAGGTTGCCCTGGCCATAGTTCCTTAGCAAGGCAAGGCAAGGCAAGTGTTTCCTTCAGGAAGTTTGTCCTTTAAAATCAATGGCTTTAGCTTGGTACCACCCATCATGATCTGAGCAGTGCACCTTAGGCTACACTCTAGGGAGTAGAGAAAAATGGTACTTGACTCAGGTGTCTTTACAATGGAGTTTGTGAACACTGAGATTCACTTCTGTGTGCATGTCTACTTTCAGCTCCACAACTCTGGGCTTGGCTTCTGTGCAGACTGCCAAGCAGAAAAGGACATCCTTGGTTGTCCCCTAATGCTGGCTCCTTGCAATGACAGTAGAAAGCAACAGGTAGGTGATCATATTTCCCAGCATGAATAACAGCCCACTCAATCTTTGTAAGTGGGTGCCATTTTTCTGCACTCCACTTCTCTTTGCCATATCTCCTTTCTGTGATTCCATCCCTCCTAAATGCCCATCGTGCCCTACCATGATAATTTGGCACAGCTCTGCACACCTCAGCCCCAGTTAAAGCATAGACATGGACCAGGACCAAAGAATGGAGCGCCTAGAGAGAAACAGGGAAGCTGGTTAACTAGCTTGGGAGATGTGGAAACTGAGGCACAGAATCACTAGTTCAGCTATTGCCAACTGATGCTTCTCAAGCTGAGGCAAAGTCCAAGGGTCTGAAGAGAGAAAGTAATTAGTTGTGGGGAAGTATCTAGATGCAGCAGGGGTCATTCTAGTATCCAAGTGGGCCCCTTGGTCCTTAGAAAGGTCTCCCTATATCTTACAGTATTTTTTATGCTCTTCAAGATTTCCATTGTGGCTATAACTAACTGTCTGAGGTAATAGAAAGCCTCCTTTGATGCTAGCTGAGGGGAGAGCTTAAGAAGTGATGGATTCACTTCTGTTCACATCTCTGTTGAAAACTTAGAAAGTGCAACTCATGCCCAAATCTCTATGTTTTGGGGCTGTGGCAGGGGTCTCTGAGTTAAGCTTTCATATCTCCAAAGCCCCTAATGAAAAAATACAATCTCTAGAGGTTTTCATTTGAGGAAACAGATGAAGTCTAGAGAACTGGGTTAGAAGAAGGACCATCTGTGGGAAGGTCTGGTATCATAGACTGACCAGGCCCACAACCTCCTGAATGAGTGGACAGTGAAGGCTTAAATAAAATAGGCAAGTGGTATGATTTTAGTGCTCCAGGAGGATCAAAACCCTCTAGCATAACTTGAGATTCTCTAGACACTGAGACAAAGAACTTTTCTGGGTGGCCTGTATTCATTTGGTTTTCAAACAAAGGAAGGGGTTGGGTTGGAAAGCAAATGGGAAATTGAGCAGGACCTTGGGAGTCAGTTCAAGGACTTCTCCAAATAATAAATTATGTTAATTTAGGAGAACTGTCTTATCTCCAGGTTGACCTTCACCACAGCAGTTATCTAGGTAATTGGGATTGGAGTCAGGCATCCCCTGCTGTGGCCTTGTCTTGTCTTTTGAGATGTCAGGACATCGCAGGCCACTACAGGCCTCAGCCAGAACCAGTGACTTATGAAGGTTCACTTGCTCTGATTCTTCTGCCCAACTCCAGACAAGGGCTTAGGCCTTGGACAGACTCACACATAAACACAGAAAGCTAACTGATTAATTTTAATTCCTGCCGACAGCCACTTCATAGTGGTCTCCTCAGCCTGTGCTCTGGGCCTTAGGGCAGGCTGGTCGAGGCTGGGCTTTGCAGTGCAGGGAGAGAGAGGCTCTTCTGCTCTGCCCTTTGCAACCTCCCTGAATGTTCTCACGGACATCCAGACCAAATCCAAGGGACAAGGAGATAAATAGAAAGTATGCCAAGTGAGTAAGTGTGGCAGTGGTGCTCGCTGTACTGTCACAAGGGCGAAGTGTCAGTCCATCTTCCCCAGTTGCTACCTGTAAGATCTCAGCAGGGCTCCTAACTACTCTGAATCTCAACTTCTTCATCCGAAAGTAGAGATGGTACAGCCTCCATCATGAAAACACAATTACCTGGTTTTTTGGTTTTGCTTTTGAGGGAATTAGCCATCCAGCCATAACGAACTAGAGAAACTGAAAGCCCTTCCCTAAAAACACTTACTACAATATGGTGGGAAAAGCATACAAAAGGACCTTTTACATGCTGAAGTAATTGAGTTTCCATGAAAGAAAATAGAATCTCCAGGGATCAAAAGTCAAGAGGAGGGGCCGGGGAGATGGCTCAGTGGAATAAGTGCTTCCCTGGCAAGCACAAGAGCCTGAGCTCAATCCCCAGTTCCGCCAAAAAATAAAAAACAAAAAAAAAGCCAAGAGGCAACTAAAACCAGAATCATAAGGCGTGAACTAGGCTGGCCTGCCAGGTGGAAGAGACCCATTTTGGCTCTGTGCAGGGAAAAGCAGAGAGCCCACCATTAGCCCATGAGATGTGAGAAGCCAGGAATGAGACTCCCATAGAAAGCCAGCTTTGACCTGCAAGAAGTAGGCTGTTCTTGGCACTTTTAACTAGAAACATCTACTTACTGCTACAGGGAAATGGCAAAGAAGCCTGCTTATATAGAAGTAAGGTAGGAAAAAAATTACTGTCCCCTGGAAACTGTCCACAATATGTGTTTAGGGTAGAGATGTGTACTAACTGTGTAGTTTGGGAATCCTTGAGTGGGGCAGGCTGCTTCATTTGCAGACCGCAGTGCAAAACAAAAATGTGCCCTCTCTAGTTGGGTAATTATTAATCATTTTAAGGCAGTGACAGCAGAGCCTAAGGCAAGGCTTTATAAGTCGAGTTTATTGAAACAAAAGCATTAAAGCTTTCCAAGCACAAGGCCCCATGGGGCTGCACAGGGTGCATATCCATGAACCCAACCTTGTCTGTAAGCCGTAACACGAACATGAAAACCAGGTCAGGCTCCATGTGACAGGAATAAACTGCACATGGCTCCTCCGGACCTGGCTCCCAGTGAGTGTGCACAGGGCTTCTCACAGTTAAAATTCCTCTGCAAACTGGATGTTGCAAAAACCCTAAAGACAAAAACCATGAGTGAGAGCCAGCAGGGGACCAGTGACAGCAGAAAAATAAGTTTCAGAGTGGGTAATGTCTTCCCAGAAAAGATCGACTTGAGCCTCCGAGAGGTTCCTCTGCCCTTCCAACAGTACGCTCCCAAAGCACACAGCATCCTTTATGCTTTCACCGATGATGCAGTAAGTAGCAAGATGGAAGGGCCGGCCAGAATGTAAGAATATGATCATAAAGTAGCTGGGCTTGGGGACTTCAGAGTCCAGGGCTCATGCTGCAGCACATGTGAGGTCCTGACCATCAGGTACAGTCTTACTGACTCCCCTGGAATCTAAAGATGGTCCCTGGACCTCAGTTCTACTGTGAATTCTTCTTGCCTCATCTCCAGCTCCAGAGAGGGCCTCTTTCTAGCTGTGCTAACGTCTCCTCCTCTGCCCCAGCACCTGGAGCACCCTGGCAGGAAGGAGATCCACTTCGGGAGCCCCCAACACCTGTGCTTGGATATCAAGCAGGAGCAGGTGGTTCTCCAGAACTGCACCGAGGAAGGTTCTGCCATCCATCGGCAGCACTGGGACTTCCAGGAGGTGAGTGATCCACTCAGGAAGACTCAGCAGTACTTCTGGTCAAGAAGACCTTCTGGCTGGCTGTTCTTCCTTCCTTCCTTCCTTCCTTCCTTCCTTCCTTCCTTCCTTCCTTCCTTCCTTCCCTCCCTCCCTCCCTCCCTCCCTCCCTCCTTCCTTCCTTCCTATCTTTAATGTATTTAGTACAGGGTGCTCATGGTCTCACTACATAGATGAGACTCATAGTGATCCTCCTGTTTTCGGTCTCCCAAGTGCTGGGATTACAGGCATGCGCCACCCCACCCAGTCTCCATTGCTCCCTGGGGATGGGGCTGGTATGGCATGCTAGGGATCGAATCTTGGTTGTTGAGCTTGCCTGTGCAGGCGCTTTAGTCCACTAAGCTGTGTTCTTTCAAGAGTTCAGTGTTGCTGCAAGGCCTGTGCCTCTATTGTCAAACTTACTGGTGTTACATTAGGGCTTTGGAGGAGGTAAAGACAACTCAGCAGGGAAGTTGAGCCAGGAGCATTATGAAACATACTAATTTGCCCTATCTCTATGTAGCTCTGATTTGATTATGACAGAGAAGGACGGGACCCCTTTTAAAGCTTATTAGCTTGGGTTACCCACAGGATGGTGGAGCAAGTTACAGAAACAATGTATTCCCATGGTGGTGTGGCTTCAGAAGTAATGAAAAGTCCCTGTGTCCACCAAATTAAGAAAAATATAGACATTGATATGTAGATATAGATACACAGATATGTTCTTTTTAATGCAAATTCACTGTGAGCATTTCAAGATTTTAGCAGAATTTTGATATCTATATGCCTGGGTGAAAGAAATTCTAAAGCCTTTCCAGCAGTTATGCATCAATGGGGAGGAATGCAGAGAGCTGTAAGCACTTACAGAAAGTGAGCGAGTCCCAGACCAGCATTGGGAAAGGAATCGGACAGTAGCCACAGTGAGTGTTCATGTACAGCTTTCTCCCCCTCAGATGCTTTCTTGGTTGAGCCCAAGCATTATTATCCAAACAAATGCACATATTTTTTTTTAAAAAAATATTTCTTCACCTTTAGGTTGGAAGTGAAGAGGATAAAATAACTAAGCAGAACTCTGGTACTCTTAACGCAGACCACAAAAGAAGAGAATTACATGATAGGAAGCTTAAGGCAAAATCACAATAAAGCTCTTAGGGCTTCAGTGACAGGCAAACACAAGACTCGTGCCCACATATCTGCACAGAGGTCTGCAAAACTCAAGGTGCTTTTTGGGTAATCACAGCAATTGTTCTAAGCAAGCCCCATGATTAAGGTACATTTTAGGAACAGTTAAAGATAGGTAAAAGAAAAGGAAAAGAGACAAAGAGGTGGAGGGAAGGGAAAGAGAGAGGAAGGAAGGAGCTAAAAAGGGCTAAGATGCACTATGTACATGTACCAACTCCCCATGAAAAATGTAGTCATTATGAACTGCAAATATGTACTATTAAAAATAAAGTATTTTTAAAAAATTAGTAAGATGCACCTAGCAAATTTGAGGCATTAAGAAATGAGACTTTTGGGGCCAGTGAGATATTCAATGGACTAAAGCACCTGCTTAGGCAAGCTTAGGCAAGCTTCAGGGACCGTGGTTTGATGTCTAGTGGCACTTGCCATGCCAGCCCCACCCCCTGGAGCACTGAGCCAGCCACCAAGACCAGGTGTGGTGGTGCACACCTGTATTCCTAGTGCTGGGGAGGCTGAAAAACAGGAGGATCACTATGAGTCTGAGCTGCATAGTGAGGCCCTGTAACAACCAAATACGTAGATGGAAGGGAAGGGAAGGGAAGGGAAGGGAAGGGAAGGGAAGG